GAGATCCGATAGAGGCATCAGTGTTACATCGAGCCTATTACATAACCAGTTAAAAACTCTTTGTAATAGGTTTAACCAGACTTTACAGCTGGTGACACTGTCTGCAGTGGACAACGGCAACATGTCATTGCTTCAAAATCATGTTTAATTCGTTGTGAACAGTCGTGCAGTATCATGCTGATGAAGTGATGTTAAGTATGTTTTATGAGCTGTTAAAGAGGATGATGTATTTTAACATCATTGCATTCTTCTTCTTCCACCACTGTCACTTTTACTGGGATGAAATTGCTCTGCAGACTGTCTGGTGAATACACAGTGAGTTGGGGAGGTTTTTTTTCCATCCAGCAGCCAGTTTTTCACATAAAAAGACACAGCCCAAATATCTGTTTCACCATCAGCTTGTGTTTTGTGATTCACAAAATTCCTCTTCAGCTTGTGCTCCCTGCCGCTCACATACCTTTAAGTTTTTCATTTCTGTTATTTTTCTCAGGGCTGAATGTCTTTTCAGCATAGGTCCCTTTTGCCGCTATACACCCACACACCCATAGCAACACGTTGTCGTTTCTTGGTAACCACATTTACGCAATGAGTAAAGAAATTGAAGGTAGAGTAGGCATGAAGAAGGTCTAGCTTAGAGCTTTATATAAATCCGTCCAAGGCTCTCATGTAATCCAGCATGTCAGCTCAAGTTTTGTTTGTTCGAAAGACAAAGATGGATAAACATGTTGTCCGAGTGCTTTTTGTTTGCACCTGAATCTCCACATGGGGAACAGATCACATGTTGTATGTGCAGTCATCCTCTCAGAAACCTGCACTGTCATATTTTTAATTACACTGTTGTTAATCACTGACATGTGACCCAATATCCTGCTTGCTACGGTACCCGGCACTAAATTCCCAGGGTGTTGGTAGGAGATTACACTGACCCGAGGTAATGAACATGCCCAGCAATTGAACCTGTAATTGGACCAGACTGATAAGCTAATTATTTCCAGAGCTAACACGAAATTACTCCTGTTGTATTGCAGAGGGGGGGGGGAGAATTTAGCGAGTGTATCTCATGTAAGCTCCTGTGTGATATGCAGAGGTCACTTGTGGTCTGACTGAATGTTAATTTCCCAAAAGGAATTATTTCTAAAAAACAGAAAATCCAATCAAAGCTCATTTTGTCCTGGTACATTTAAATGTCAATGCCTTCTGTTTTATTTAACTATTAACATGTGTAACATTTGCACCAACATTCATGGTCCCCAGAAGATAAATCTTTGTAGGTCCCTGACTTTTCCTCACATTCACGGTTTTGAGTGAGATGTCTCAACAACAGCCTGTTGGATGGATTGCCATGAACGTTTAAACATTCATTGTCCCCTCTTGATGAATTATAACCTTTAATCAAACGTCATCATCAGGTTGGTTTCCTGGATCTGTGGTACCCGACCTTTTTTTTTTGGTTTGTCTGATGTCAGATGAGCTCAACTAGCCCTTTAACAACAACCAGCTGTATTTCAAATGTGTTCATTTCAAATGATTATTAATTAATCAAATCTATAAAAGTGGATATTGTTACAGTATTTTTATTTTTTTTCAAGTCATTGTGATCCTGGAATTGTTGTGTTTGGTATAATCCCTTCTTTGTTTTTTATTACGTGGAGAGAAAGAGACTGGTTATTTAACCAGTTGTAATGTTGTATTTATCCGTCACTTTTGTATCTATTTTGACACCCTGGTTGAAGGAGGCGTGTTAGTCTGTTGTAAGTGGTGGTTTATTGCTTATTGGGACAATAAATATACTCAAGATCACCTTTGCACCACTTTGCTTTGTTTATTTTCCTCTTAAACACAAATATGTGGACAACATTTTTCCAGATTAGCTGATCTACTCTGGAAACTGCCGAAGTTGCTTCTGTAGTTGGGAATCACTGTACAAGAGGATTTCATGACCAAAAGTTCAGTATCTTTATATGTCTTTATTTTTTTACATGGAAAATATTTGAGTTTGGAACAAATTAAATGTAACAACAGGTCTGTAAAGGCCAGCAGGCACTGGATACAGTCTCAGATGTATCAGGGTTGTTGGTTGTCTTGTTTTTTGTATTAGTCACTGATGTGATTGCTTATGTAGTATTGGGTAATTGTCCGCCCCCTCTGATCACCCTCTCCCTATATATCTATATACTGTATGCAAATATCCTGAAGAGAGAGCCATTTCCTGTCTCATGCCCTCACTAATTTACACTCCCTAATCACCCGGCCCTCTTTGTATTGTGCAGCCTGGTTTTGATGTCCTACAGATTCCACTGCCCGCTCTTTTCGTTAATGAACTAATCTCATTGCTCCGAGGTTGTGGGTGGAGGGAAATGACACTCCACCTCGCTCTTTCATTCATAAATATAATACCTGCATTGTGGTGTAGTGGAGGGGGGAGGTTTTTGAGAGCTTTTTGTAATGCAATAGGAGTAGATCAAAGCGTTAGACCTGGGGGACAGATTGCTCCTCCATCATGGCTGAGGGACAGGATTGTATAACATGGAAAGGTGTCTTTTCTGTTCACCAGGTTTGTTCCATCGTACTACTAGAGTGCGCACTCTGCCCATATGGCCCTTTCGTTTCTCCACTTCCGGTCCCACGCCATCCCCCACTGCGGCCTACAGGGCACGGCTTGCCCAGAAATTAGATCATACCAGACCAAAGGTGCCAAAAAAAAATGAGGCCCTGGCGCTCCAGCACTCCCCTCTGCCACCCAAAACACTCCTCCCACTCGTCTGTGTGGGCAATGCCACTCTCAAACACATGCTCTCCTATGTAAACACCCACACAAAACACACACACACACACACACACACACACACACACACACACACACACACAAACACTGACAAGCAGAAGCATGCAGATTACATTACTACATTCACACACTCGTACAAACACACACACACTCTCCTCTGTGCCCACTGTGCTAATACAAAGTCCATGGACGGATCATGAGACAATGGGTACCTCGGCACAGACATTGTAAAAGCCCCCCCACCCCTGCTATAAACCAGCAAGACACACAGACTGAAACGCACACAAAATTACTACAAACTAGTAGTGTCTTGCGTCTATATTTAGTAGTTTTGCGTTTATTTTTAGTCATTTTGCATTTGTTTGTGGTCTGTTTGCGTCTATTTTTAGTCATTTTGTGAATCATTCTTTTTGTTTTGCGTTTATTTTTAGTCATTTTATGAATCATTCTTTTTGTTTTGCGTTTGTTTTTAGTCATTTTGCATCTTTTTTAGCCAACTGCGCCTCTTTCTGTTTGGTTTGTGCCTATTTTTCATGTAATTTTGTGAATCATTCTGTTTGTTTTGCGTTTATTTTTAGTCATGTTGCATCTCTTTACGGTCATTTTTGCATCTCTTTGTAGTCAGTTTGTGTGCCTTTAAGTAACATTTAGCAGGTGGAGACCTTTGGCCCCTCGAGCCTGTGCCCAGTAGGTCCATTCAGTAATCTATCCAGGACGGCGTCATCCTGCTTCAGTCTGGTTTTCTTTCTTTCCGAATGCCAACAGGAAATTCCAGGGGACCACTTCCCTCCCCGAATGTGACACACACACACACACACACACACACACACCTCCTACCCTACTGCACTCTTTAACACCATCACCAGGCTCTGTCATCTTTGTTCTCCATCATCAGATGATGCCAAGTTATGCAAGAAAAGTCTGTGCTACAACATATTTCAGAGCTGAGAAATAGTATGCTGTATTGTACACCGTTTGTGAAAAGTAGACAAAGTTGCCATCACTTTTTCCTCCCACAGGTATATGAGTTCATGGAAAACGGGAGAAAAATGTAGGCTCACTAGTCAATTAGGTTATAAAACCAACACTCTCTCCTCAGGTTGACGCTATTCCTGGACTGCTGTTGTGAGAGGAGATCTGTGTGATCTGCTGCCTCCTGGTGGCTGAACACCGTCTCCGATTACATAAAACAGGGCTGTGTGTGTGAGTCATCACCCCCCAGTGAGGACAGATGGGAGGTGTGTGTGTGGTGTGTTTGTGTGTAGGACTGGGCGGAGCAAACAGCAGTGGACTGTGAAATAAGGGCTTTCCCCTCTCTCTTTTTCTCCCTCTCTCTCTTTTTCCTTAGTTTTTTTTTTTTTTTTGTGGGTCAGGAGAATCAGTTAGCACACAAGTGAAGTGCTGTGATGGTAAAAATAGAACAGAAGGCCGCAGAGCTTCAGTCTTGCTTCTTTAAACTGCAGGCATTTGCTGCCTTTCCTCTCTAATTTAAGGCTGTTAGGAAGTTGATACAAGATTTAATCAGCTTCTTCCTGATATAAAAACAGTAGAAAAGCAGATATAAAACATTTATTAGTGAAGAAGAGAGAAAACTAAATGGGGCAGTGATCTTTCTGTCTGTTTTTTATGTAACTGATATGATTGGTTGAATGGTTTTAGGTAAGAGATTCCTGCCACGGAAAGCATTTTAGGACAGAAATCATGATGATGTTGGCCGATGATGATACAGAAAGAAGCAAATATATTTTGCCACGTAGGGAGGGCTGCGTTGTTGAGTGTGTGGGTGCAGATAAAGAAGGGGGTGGTTCTGGGATGCTGGAACTAAACCAAACACCAGTTACCCTGTAGACTTGCCTCTTCTCTTACACACGACTTCATGTTGAAACCACTTGTTTCTTAGGTAACAAAGGGAAATAATGAACTGGTGGAACTAGACAAACACTGATGTTTGGACAACTGAGCAGGCCATGTCTATAGCAATGTCCCAGAGCTGGAGGTGAGGTTCTCACAAAGCTTTCTTAAGGCGATCAACAGTCTAAAACACAAAGATATACAGTTTATATTGATATAAAACAGAGGAAAACAGCAAATTCTTCAGCATTTTTGTTTGAAAATGAATTTCCTGTCCATAAATCAGCTAATTATTTCAGCTCTAACGAACATTAATATAAAGGGTCCAGATGGATGGATATTGCCCATAAGAATGAAACTAATCTTTTTCAAGGTATATTGTTTTATTTGGGTTTAAATCTTAGACAAAAAAAAAAGTACAACAAAATCAGCAATGTGACAAACCAATAAAAAAGCAGTGATGGAGAGCTTGAACATAGGAATGGACAGTGGAGGGTGAAGGAGGGGCGTGGATGCTGAGGTCTGATCTGAGTGGTTACTGAATCACGTCTGTCAACAGGAAACAGGGCCGAAGGAATAAAGTGACAAACAGAGCAGAACCGAAGATAAGGATGTAAACTGGTGAAAACAGATTAATCTAGTGACGCTGAGCATGAATCATTGCACCTGAAGGCAGACAGAAAATATGCCACACAGACTTGTTATCACCCTGAACAGATGTGAAGAAAAGATATCTTCAGAGTAAAATCCCTTTTTTTATAGACATCGACCACAGAATGATGCTGTCAGATAGGTACTAAGTACAAAATAACAGTAAACATGATAAGAAACACAAGGGAACTAAACTGACTGGACTAATTCTTTTAAGGCTGTAATTTATCTGAGACACTATTGTATATGTATACTGTATGTATATTCTTCTACATGTAATATGGTGGGCTGACAGAAATGTGTGGCTTTCTTTGGACGACTAATTACGAAATGCTAAGATTGTAACATCACAGTGACTGGTTGAACTGCATCGACCACTTTTGTTTTACAGCTTCATTTTCCTTTTTTGCATCTGTGTTTCTTCCCCAGCTCTCTCTCTCTCTCTCTCTCTCTCTCTCCTTCTTTAAAAGGTGTACGGCCCAACGTAGATGGAGAGTCTGAGGGCGGAGCTGGTTTGGTAGCTGCCCTGGTAGCTGAGCAGGGGGTTAACTGACACCATCTCCAGGTCCAACGTGTACTCTCTGGGCCCCGACACAGCGCGGGCCAGGACCAGCATGGCACTGATATTATTGATTTGCTGGAGAAGATCAAACAAACATTACTGAGCACATTTATACAGCAGAGATACAACTTCTGTGTGAAGTTCATATACAGCTATGGGCAGAAGTTAAATTAAGTTACAAAGATGGGAAACAGCTTGTTTGACTTGGCTCAGATGTAACAATAATCAACCTACCAGTACATGCAACAACATCTACAGCAACTTGTGACACTGAAGCTCTCCTGACACTCATAAATCAGTCTGACCCACCACATTCAGTGATAAAGGAAACAATATATCAATATATGTATATATGTACATATATATATATATATATAATGTGTCCATTATATCAGGAATAATTTGTTATGATGCACTGATATGAATGAATGAATGAATGTGGTGGGTGACAGAACTGTTTCTTGTAATCAGGGAACTTCACAAGGTCTCTGATTACAGGTTTTGTCAGCAGTTGTATTGATAACTTGAGCAAACAATCATACAGCTCTCCATGCTCTGTAACAGTACTCACCCTGATGTAGAAGTCTCCGTTTTCGTCACCGGAGCGGATGCGGAAGGTGTTGTAAGCCCCTGGAGAGACGCTGGTGGCCTGAATCTGGAAGATGTCGGAGGGGACGGAGCGCTCGGAGGTGATGCTCATGTAGCGGTGTACGATAGAGAAAGGCAGATCTCGACAGACGGGCTTGTTGACGGGACACACACAGCGGCTGGACACACACACAAAGGAGTAAAGTAAGGGTGAGAGTTCACTTTGAGAGGCGCACAGGAAATTGTAGTGATATCTGGGCCAGAAAAACATTAAGAGTAGTTCATAAATCAGCCAGCAGAGGGAGTAATATGACTTAGAGTTCTCCTAAATTTTAAATAAATATTGAACAGTAGCCATTTTTTCCCCTCATGTTTTTCTAAAACACATTTTATATTACTAAATCATCTTGGATATGTTAATAGTGACCCACACCTGTTACCAATCCAACACTTGTTCAGTCTGTGATAGTTTTCTTATTGCACTGGAGCATGCTCAAAAGAAAAGGTTGCAAGTTGGACTCATATGTGGAAAAAGTAATTGGGGTAATCTCGCACTTTGAGCCATACTCAATACAGGGGCTGATTATATTCTCAGCTGATGGCCAGCACATAGTTTAGTAATTGGGAAAAGGTGTGTGAAAGTGTGTGTTTGTGTATGAACACACACAAGCTTTCATGAGGTGTCACTCACTTGTCAGACACTTGTACATAAGGGTCTTGGCACCGGTTTGCGTCCACACACTGGTATCGTCCGTGGATATTCACACAGGTCTGTGTGTCGGTACACTGGTGTTCACCTGTTTCACATTCATTTATATCTGAAGAAGAGAAACAGCTCATGATGTTCAATCAAACAGCAACAGGACAAGAATAGAGCTGCTGCCAAAGAATGAATAAGTATTGACTCAGAGCAGCATTTGTGACTCTGAAAGCACAGAGGTAGGTGTTCGTTTTGGGAGGAAATGGAGGCGGGTGTGCTTACCCTGGCATAGTCTGGTGCCTTGCAGCTGGTATCCTTCTGGGCACACACAGGAGAACTTCCCTGGTTCGTTGACACACTGGTACTGGCACAGGTAACTAGAGTAGCTGCACTCATCAATGTCTGTTAAGTTAAAAGTTCAGGTTTTATTAATAGCGCCAATTAAAGGGAGAACAGGAACAGAAAACAGAGCAGACTGGCATCACAGTAAAGGAGAGCTTACACTATTACTCTTTACAGACAGAGTGGGACTCTTACCGTTACAAGCAAAGCCATCAGGCCCCAGCTCATAGCCCTGGTCGCAGCGACACAGGAAGGTGCCGTACGTGTTGTAACACCTCTGAGAGCAGGGGGCACCCATGTCACATTCATTCACATCTGAAAGGAGGAAAGACAGATTTTATAGTGTGAACTTAAAGGACCATTGTGTAGGATTGAAACCAACTGAATACTGTTTGCCTTCCAAGCTTGTAGGAGAAACTAAAAAACTCGCAAAAAATTTAAAAGGCCATAGCTAAAGCCAGTGTTTGGTTTGTCCATTCTGAGCTACTGTAGAAACATGGCAGTTCAATATGGGCTCTATAGAAGAGGACCCGTGGCATCTGTAGATAAAAACGGCTCATTCTAAGGAAATAAAAAAGATTCTCATACACCAATAAAAACATATCTATGAATATTGTATTCCATTTCTGCCAATAGATCCTTGTAAATGTTACACACTGGACCTTTAAATACTGTATGACTAATTTCAAACAGCATGCACACCCAAAAAATTTTACTGGATAAAAAAACTCAAACTGAAGACAGAAATCAGAATGATAGCTCCCAATACATTTGAAGGCTGTGAAAACACATTTTCTCAATCAGCTTGTTGCTGTGAGTGAAGGGGTTCAACATGGGAACACAGTTTTCTGCCAAAGTTGAAACTGTTTTAGTTTCTTCACATGAGAGATTTTTTTTTTACCGCTGGTTTAAAGTGAGGCAGGCTGCATTGGGAAAAGGTCATGTTAGGTGCACCAACTAGAATTTAGCAATATTGAATCAATATGTAGTGGCAGTTGTTGCAATTACCTAACTTTCTGAAAATTTAACTCTTAATAAATACATTTTTCTTTTTCTTAACTGTTACCTCTGTACTCACGAATGTGTAATCATGAAAAATGCCTTAATGTGTAATCCACTGATTTAGCATTGACTACTGGAACATTGTCGGACACATGATGGACAGTTTTAGGGATCAAAATCGATCCAGCAAAACCCGAGCTAATGTCTTTTATTATTCCACACATTCTTCTTCCTTGTCAAAACCTGGCACCTAAATTACCCACATTGCAACTCAACCACTGAAAGTTTAGTCTGAATCAGTCAAGTGACATCACTTGAGGCAATTTATTAGACTCCACGCAGCTTCCTCTGGAGCCACAAAAGGCTTTTTACAACTGTTGTCACATATGCAGTAGTTTTCCCCCAGAGCTGTAAACGGACTAATGTGTAAAAGATGTTTTTAAAGGCTTTAATTTTTGTCAAGCACTTGACAATAGCAAATAAATCTGTAAGATCAACATTGATTGGAAGCTATCAGTACAATGTGCTGATTTCAGAGGCTGTAGCTACGACAATTAAATCTCATAATCAGCTGCAGAGGGCGTCACTCACCGATGCAAGACCGGTTGTTTCCTGCCAGCTGGAAACCAGGTTCACACTGACAAGAGAAGGAACCGGGAACATTGACACAGCGATGTTGGCAGTACCTGTACCTGCACTCATCGATGTCTGAGAGAGAGAAACAGAGTCAGACGAGGGATATTCACATTCCTACTGGCTATTAAGATCACTATCCAACTTTACCCCGGGCCATGTGGCAAAGCATCGCTCTGAGTTGCCATATTTAAGCCTGCTTAGCTACACTCGTTAAAGAATAAATTATCTCACCAATACACTCTGTGCCAACCTTGCGGTAACCATCCGGACACTGACAGGTGTAGGCTCCCAGTGCGTTGATACACTGCTGGCTGGGCTGGCAGTCATGTTCATCTCGCTCACACTCATCGATGTCTGCGTGAAAGTGAAACAAGCACACACATGTCAAAATGTGGCTATTGTGAGCAAACGCATCATAATTCAGCATGACAGGAAGATACAGTGTGACTGTTGGAGGGCAGACGATAGCGACTCTATTCCCCTCATTTGCACCCGACAGCTGAAAATATCACATCATGTTGAATCATGTTTGCTGTCTCATGCAGGCTGATGAACACCTCGCCGCCCTCCAGCACGAGTAGGTTTCTCGCTGCAAGTCCAGTTCTTAAAACACAGCAGCTGTTCTCGTGTGAAATTGTCCGAATTCCTACACTGTCTGTCTGCCCCCCGTGGACTCTACTCACTCACACCCACACAGATTGCACCAACATGCTGCCTCCAGTCCCAACACCTGCTACAGCCACCTGTCCCTCACAATCTGTGGCCACTGACAATAAATTTACACAATTACTCACACACACAAACATGCCTAATGATCACTCATCCTGTGGCCACCTGTCCACCTCAAGCCCCCCAGACCTACAAACCAGACACCCACCCACACAGCTGTCTCCCTGCGGCTCGTATCCCGGAGGACAGGGGTTGGTCACAGCGGGCGTGATAGGGGGCTCTGGGGCTGGGATGACTGACGCAGAGCGGGGAAGGCACAGGTATCCTCCATAGTGGTTGAAGCACTTCATTTCCCCTTTGCAGGCATCTGGAATGGTCTCACACTCGTTTATGTCTGATGGAAGATACAGAGAACGTAATTAGGACCAAATCAGCAACAGGAGAACAACGGCATGATCAAAACTGTTACTGTACATAAGAGTTAGGTGGTGAGGTGGAATAAATGAAATTACCTTTGCAGTGCTCAGTCTGAGGGTCCCAATGATACCCATCTGTGCATTCCTACAAAGAGCAGCAGAGGGAGAAAGGAAATTTGAGAAAGTGATGGAAAGAAAGATGTGAACAGTCCCAGTGAGCCAAGTAGTTGCATAATATATTCATAATACATAATAAATCCCCAGTAGTGGGACATGCAAAAAAGAAGCAGAGGATAGAGAAACTTGTTTCCTGTATTCATGTAAGAGTGCTGGGCCAAAAAGAAGAAGTCGGCTGCTGTTAAAGTATTTGTGACATTTTTAACTACTCTCCTTAAGCCAATGTCACTTCAAAAACAAATAAGGCCAATGTTTGGAAAAAGGGCCATTATCATTCTGGAAAAAAAATATTTCTGTGAGCAGCATGGAAAGAAAAAGTGTGGCCTAAAAAAACATGGAATTATACCTAAAATTACCCCCAGCTATGACTGCTATAAAATGTTGGAAAAGGGAATACTGCTGTGGAATATTAAACAAGAAGAAGATGAGGAAAGAAAAAAAAGAGAGAAGAGAAGGATTTGAGCCCAAAATTTCCACACACAAAAGAGAAGTAACATCAACTGAGAGGTGTGATATATATATATATATATATAATATGGAAGAAAGAAAAAGGAGATGCAAAGAAAAAGAAAGGAGGAAGAGAGGAGAAGAGAAGAGGAGGAGGGAGAGAGATTCGTCCATCCTTACCGTGTAGGTGTCACTTTCTGTAGGCGGCTGTGAAATAGCACTGCGGAGGAGCACAGACACACATATGCACACGCACAAGATTGACACACAAGCGCCCTGCATACTAATGCACTAATTTGTGGGAGACGGGACAGGAACACACACAAAACATGCACACACACACACACACACACACACACACAGACACAGCTATCAGACAGGTAGTGCTGCTTTAAAGATGAGAGGCCGAAGACTTTGTGATGTACAGAGCAGCCAAGAAGTGATATCTGTATTTCGGGGAGAGAGAGAGAGAGAGAGAGAGAGAGAGAGAGAGAGAGAGAGAGAGAGAGAGAGAGAGAGAGAGAGAGAGAGAGAGAGAGAGAGAGAGAGAGAGGACATAAAAAGGCAATATTAGAAACTCACAAAATGGTTCAATTCAGTCTCAAAACACACTGGTGCTAGAAGCCGTTCCCACAGCTGAAATGGATAAATCAACTCGAAGCAAAAGCGCTGGAGCCAATTTTTAAGTAGTCAGTCAGAACACAAACAGTTAGCTTCTTGGACTTGGTTCACTGTTTGTCAACCAAACAGTTTCCCCTTGAACGCAGCAGGAATAAATGGAATGAATCACTCTGCCAGGTAAAAACATAAACATTGTGACGTACTCCATCCTTCTGCTGAAAATAACAAAGTCAACATCACAGAAATACTTTCATATTACAGAAAGCCCTCTGTGTCTGCAGACTGGCAGACTACAACTCACTGGAATGATAGTCTCGCTGAGCGCTGCCTCCAGAGGTTCGGTTTACTGTGTATCAGAGCAGCATCTGACATAAATCCTGGCTATTACTTGCATATTTTAAAGCATCTCCTGTTCAGCTGCCTCAGTTTCTGAGATAAGCTTCAAGTTAATTTGTCTCTGTGACAAAGAATCTCCTGTGGGGATGCTGTGTTGGTCTTTGTCAGTGGTGGAAAGAAACTAAGTACATTTTAAGGTACTTTATACTTGTACTTCACTACATTTTAGAAAGTTATTAATACTCAGTAAAAAAAAAAGGCCAAATGTTAGGCGAGTATTCCTATGGAAGCCCAGTAATCCTGTTAAATGATGCGCATGCCTATTGAGCAACCAAATTAACCAAACCAAGCATACTGTCTGAGCCACCTACTAGACCTAAAATAAGAGTAAAGCACATATTTTAACACTATGAAAGAGGCCATTAGGCATAAAGAGTATTTTTACTTTGGATACTACAAGTACATTTTACTGGTAATACAATTGCACTGTTTCTTAAGTAGAATTTGGGACTGTAGTACTGCTACCTTTACTAAAACAAAGGATCTAAGTACTTCTCCCCTCGCTGGTCTTTTCTACCAGGTTCTGTACAGTGTAGTGTATTTTTGAGGTAGATTTATAGTGAATTATGTTTGCTGAGTATTCTGGTGGACTGGGCTTTTCTCCCAGCAGAGACACAATGATCCTTCAGTTAATGTTCCTGGGGGGAAGCTATAAGTGTTTAAGCTGACTCTAAACATAAACAAATCACCTATTCCAGCTCCCACAGACCAAAAACTGAGCTAAGGCAGGCCGATTCAAGGAGTTAAAAAGAAAATCTAAGTCATGTGCAAAGTCAGTGAGTTCCAGTTAAAATACATGACAGGAAAGTTATAATCACTGCCTGTCTACGTGCATGGACACTCACACACACGCTCTGATGTGAACTCCAGAGGCCACATTTGCAGGCATTGCTTATTGTTTTATTTCATGTTGAGACAAACAGAAGGCCACAGGCTGACGTGGACACCCTCAAATACTTCATGGATGACATCACAGGTGATTTGTGACCTTTGTGTGGTGAAAAGCAGCAAAACGTGCCTTCACCCCGTAAGCACAGACGGTAATACATACCACTAAGCAATCAGACGGCCACAGTACGTGACCTCTCCGAATTGGCCCAGCAGCCACTTACAACCAGCAAGAATGTGAATCAAAACCACCCAAAAACAAACTGACCATCAGTCCGGGGTCCAGTCACTCGCTGGCTACTGAGTGCGGGCAGTGGGGATGCATGGGTGTTGCCCTGCTACTGCTGGAGATCAAGTGGCGGTGGACCTCTGGAATGCAAGTGGCAAGGATGTGGGCGCCAGTTCCCAGCTGGGATGCCCTGCCACGGCAGTGGTTCCCAGAGTATCAGGTTCTGGGAAACCCCCCATGGATTCACATAAGAGGATAGCTGGTGCCAAACCTCCAGCCACTGCTCCCCTAACCCTCTCTCCTCATTGTGTAGGAGATGTCAGAACATGTGGCCCAAGTGCAGGAAGTCATCGTCTGGGTTTTGACTTCCACTGACAGGTTGACTGTAATACCACATCGCCATGAAAGATAATCAGTAACTATTTTGATAAATAATTTCTGATCAATTTCTGAATTTCTAAAATCCTAAATGTTTGTAGTTCAAGCTTCATAAATAGGGAAGATTTGCTGCTTTTCCTTGTCATATATGTTAGAAAATGAAATATATTTTGGTTGTGGACTGCTGGACAGACAAAACAAGACATTTTTACTATTTTGACATTTACTAAATTAAATAATTCATGGATAAAATAATCTCCAGATTAATCGATCATCCCAAGTCAAAACCTCAAAATATTACTGCTGTAACACCTGTTGTGTATAATATTAACAATACCTCTCAGGATATAAAAAAAAGTACCACTTGGGACTCGCTTTGGCCTCAGTAACAGCAAGCTGACCCATTTTTAAATTCACATAGTCAGCACAATTTAACACGCAAAATGTCAGGCAGATTATAAAAGTGACCACATGGGGACCAGGAAAAACACACAGTTGGACCACACACACACGCACGGAGTGTACACTGCAGGATAGTCATGTGTTGTAGTGTATACACAGTGACCTTTGTGTTGTTCTGCTCGGTTGTGCATGGAGCAGCCTAAGAACACGGTGGCCCAGCGAGCTCCAGCTGAGCTCTGGTACTGTTGTAGCACTGAACCTGCAAATCCACAACCAGGGGGTCACCGTCTCACACACAGCAGCAGCTTACACAACTCCTGCTCAGGGAAACTCCACAGTCAGTGATGGATTGTGGCCTTCAGGAGGAATTCACACTGTGTAACTGTACCAAGTCCCTCCTGAGCTGTTCTCCCAGTGGTGATGCTGCTCTGCCTCCCTGTGTAAAGGGTGTTTAAGAGCTGTGATGTATTATAGTATGCATACAGTGTGCCACAAAATGATGGGCGGCTCTCAGGGGAACAGCACTGCTTCCTGTTGCTTTTATAATCCCACCTGAGTCATTACAGTGACGGTAGAGCTGTCACATGTTAGCTATTAGGATTATACTGTATAAACAGTGATTAAATACGCTGTCAAATATTAGTAAGGCAGCAACCGAGAGGTTTCTAAGAGTGTTTTGTGTGTATATGTTCCTGTAGCTGCCACCTGCTTCTCTTACTTAGAACTTCCCACAGATTGTTTTCCTTTAGTTTTCCCCTCGAGTAACCACACCGAGATTGTGACACTGACTTTAAATGTTGGACAACTGGGATGAGGTGGAAGAATTTTGCAACATACTGTACAATAAAACATGTCCTATGAGTCATTGCCTCTCTTCCTGTCTACCCCCCTATTACAGTCTCTGAAACACAGAGCCAAGAAGAAAACTAGACAGACCGTGGGCCACGTTATCTTGGCTCTCGTAAGGAGCCAAGTGTAGCGGGGAGAGCAGAGCAGTGGTGTAGCCGTGACGTGTATGGCCTGTACCACAAAAGAGTGTAAGTGGCACATCTCACCTCCATTACTCCTCCCTAAAAAGTCTCGTAAACATAATAAGTCATCCACCAGTTCTCTATTAGACACAAATCTCTTATAACATGGATATCAGACATTAGAGAAACAGAGGAAAACTCACAGATGAATCTTTTCAAATGGGTCTTCTGTGTCTGCGTGTCCCTCTGACCAGCGTGTCCTTCTGCTGGCTGCAGTCGTCCCGGCTGAGCTGGCGTACAGAAGTGGTCCCTTAAACTCCTGCCTGTATGACCCTGAGAGAGTGAGTGGGGAGACCGACAGCTGGAGCAGCTGAACACATGCAAAGGGAGGGAGGGAGAGAGCAAGAGACGGAGAGTAGAGAGAGAGAGGGAGGAGAGAGGGACAGCCCATTCTTACCCCCCCACTTCCCTCCCCTCTGGCCCCCTGCACTGCCATCCTCCACTCTCCGAACCCCCTCTCCCTGACCCCCCAGGATGCAAATTCCTGGTCTGCGGCCCAAATACCAAAATTCCAAATCCGTCCAAATCGCAGGCGGAACAACTCACAGATTCACACACTTGCCCCCCCCCCCCATCTTCTTACAAAATGCCCCCTCTTGCTGGTCCCACAACACACCTGGTTTCATTTAAACTAAACCCCACAAAAGCTCCAAGCTCTCCCACCCTTTCCTCCCTCCTTTTTCCCACTTACCCCCCATCTATCTATACTTACCTCCCCCATCTTTTTCCCTTTTTTTTTTTTCCATAAAGCGACTAAAGCCCTCGCTCCCGTCCAATCTGACATGCAGGATATTTATAGCCGGGGAAAGAGAAGTTAATGGAATGTGGACAAAAATTAGAGAGTGGAAGACCGAGAGCGAGAGAGTGCGGAGACTTGTTTGGAAAATTTGTCATCTTATTCTGCAGAATGAAGCGGTGGCGTTTTTCTGGGATAAAATACAGAAAAATAAACAGTTTTTCAATATTCAACTCATTATTCTTGACCGATACACCAACTTTGCTCTTCTCTGTTCGTGCATGACTAATCCATTTCTCCACGTGGAATCATTTCCAGCTTTTTTGTTGCAAAATTTGTAGTCTGTTATGTTGCAAACTGGATAAGATATTGCTTAACGCACGTTAGTCTACATTAGTTCAACTCTGACTCAACTTAGTGTCAAACTTTGAGGTCACCCTTTCTCTTCTCACTAAATAAAAGCCCCTTTAAAATTAAACGAGCAACAGCCACATTACTATAATTGCAGGCTTCATTCCAAGATACTGTAAGAAATATAACACCATTACAAAATGATGGCCTGCATTAAAGTTTACAACCAAATATTCTTTAGTAGACACTAATCTTCATATTTTTAGAGCGCAATCATGCTATTGTTTTAAATTACAGGAGCAATTACTGTATTTTCTCATGTTTTTTCCAAGTAAATCTCCATAGTTTTGGTTCACACCTTTTCTCAGCCTCAGATTGTTTATCTGCCCTGTCTTTGTGGGGGGTGGCAGACATGGCAGCTGTCATTACGGGGGATGTTGTTAAAAGTCACACTGACAACCCCCTAGCTGGACCAACTGTGCCCCCCCTGGTTGGTCCCTTATTGCCATGACCACACACAAACACCCCATACACACTGGAAGAGGTCTCAATTCATGACACATGTAATCTGCTGGCGATATTTAACATCTAAACACTAACACAGTTTATGCTCTATACTGAGTGCAGACTGCTGAAACAGGGCTTTACAAATGTGCCATCTTCACTTTAGCTGTGTTTTATATCTCCTCTCTCGCTGTCTCTAATCTCCATCGAGTGCTCTAAAGATCAGTAAATCTTGTCCCTGGAACGGGTTAATGATAACATCTCTCCCATATAACACAGCAGATAAAACGATAACATAAAACAGAATTGATGTAAATGTGTTCATTTTATTTACAAACCAAATTTACAGACACTGCGAGGACAACTAGAAGTGCAAACAGGGAGGCTGAAAGCGATAATGGGGCTTGAGAAGCAGAATTCATCGCCGCTGATGAAACAAAACAGAGAAAGCAAAAACCGAGGGGCTAAGATAACGGCTTCAGCGGGGGGAACAGACAGAAAACAAACTGAGGGAAGTGCCGGGGGGAGAGAGAAAGGGGCGAGCCGCAAAGAAAACACTTCAGTCGTGATACATTTTGAAGATACAGCTTTTGATGACGCCCATGTATCTGTCCCACACAACCTGATGTCTGAGGGTCAGAAAACAGAAAGAGAACAAACTGTAAGTGAATGGTGCAAAGAGGTACTGTAAGTCTTATGACAAACTGTTGTGAAATCTGGGTGAAGAGAGTAAATGAGGCAATCTTTGTCCACTGAGAGGAATGGGGGGGGGGGTGTGTCTATGTTTCTTTTTATGAATATCTCTTTGTTAAGCATGTAGTGGTGCAGGGCTGTGTAAACCCTTAACTACATTCCAGAGTGTTTGCATGAGAAACAAGGTAACTACAGTTTAAGAAATCAGGGGCGAGATAGGGTGACACCCACTGGTAGAACAGAGACGTCAATATTAAAGAGGATTTTAACATACGACTTTATGCTCGAGCAGCATTTAATGACTGCCAGAGTGTATGTCATTATTCAATTACTGGTTAGTTTTCCCATGACTGAATTCTTAGCATGAGTTGCCCCCGGATGGCCTCTGATAACTTAAGCAAAGTTGGTGATATGCTTTACTTGATAAGCTTTGCAGAATAAAAGCACATTAACTCACTTGAATGTGTCAAGTATGTGTGCAGAGTTGGTGTAGTGAGTGAGGTAGAGTTTCATATCCGCTGCTGTCCATCTGTCCGAACGACACGGCTCAATAAACTGGGGGAGAAAAAGGAGGGGAGGAGACGTTACATCACACCGTCTCAAAGGCAGACTCTAAAGCTGGCCTCAGAAAAACTGGCTGAATGATTTGTCTTTCCTTTAAACACTTTTATAAAACGTACAAACCTTTTCCACAAGATCAATGAAGAAATCTCTGACATCTTTTGTGTTGGTTAACTTTGCAGCGATATTAATGAGGCCTCTGGAAAGATTCTAAAAAAAGAGAAATATAATTACATTTAAAACTTATATTTCCTTCCATTGCAGAAGTTACTGACTGATTACATTTAGGATATTACAAAAAATGCTTCTCACCTTGAAATTAGCCTCCATCTCATTAAAAGCTTTAGTTTTTCCTCTGAGAGCTGTGCAGACCAGACTGAACCAAATGAAGAGAATGGAAAAAGATAAATTGTAAAAGAGATTGTGGATAAAATTATAATTAAAATCCAGTCTGTTTTTCAGTCATCAGCAAAAAATTTGTAGGTTTCACTGTGTTTCTGTTACCTTTTGTGTTGATCCAGCAGATCTTTGTCAGTGATTAAAATCTTCAGCTCTTTCAGCTCTTGTAAAAACTCTTTATCGAGATCCACGTCCATGTCTTCCACCATATTATCTACAAAGAAAACTCAGACAAATCAGTTTAAAGGATGTTTTTTCTTATTACTATTATCACTGATTATTCTTTTTCTTACAATTATTCAGTTATTATGGCATTACTCAAACTCTAACCCAATTAACATTTTTAACTTATAATTATCTAATTGGTGACAAATTCATCTTCATTTTAATGAGGATCTGCAAAACCTGAAGGACCTCTGGTGGTCAGTAGGTCTCACTGAAGGAGGCTCTGATTGTTCTTATTCATAACAACCAACCATAAACAGAATACCTCTTGTTCCTACGCATACTTAGTCTCACAGTTTCAAATGTTTTTACTATATATATATATATATATATTTATTTATCTATAATATATGTTTTTCTTGGATTGAACACAAATATTTTGTCACTCTGTAAACATCAAACTAAGAGACATTAACATAATTCCAGTTGATTAATCAATCAGTTACATAACTGATTTAAATGCTGTGTATGTCTCTTACGTCTCAGATAAAAATGGCAGGAGTCCGCCAAAGGAAACAAGAATAATGGCTCACCAACGGCACCAACGGTCCAGTTGTTGATAAGCTGCCCAGCACAAAAAGCAAAGTCCTGGAAAGTAAGATATTGCAGCTTTCTTTTCCCAGTCTCAAACCGATTGTTGGCAAAGAAGACGATGGCAGCATAATCCCTAAAACAAACAAAGAAGGCATTATAAGAGCTAACAAAGAAAACAGTACAAGACAATAAAATAAAACTTTTAATATCCTGAACACTGATCTTTTCTGGTGTTGTTTTGTTAATGTTAGTTAACAAAACAAACCTATGACGTAATTCATCATAAAACCTACAATAAATCAGATATGAAGTAACAGCAATGTTTTGGAAAATAAAACTGAGGAAGGAAGGCGTCTACTCTGTTCTCCTCACTGATTACCTTGCAAGCTTGTCAGAGAGAAGGAAATGCTGACGTATGTTCTCCACCAGGGGTCCCTTCAGCTCTTCCACAACTTTGAAAACACGTTTGAAGTTGTCAAACTGAAATTAAACACATGACTCAGGGTTTACTAAAGTACTAAAAAACATGACTTGTATAAAACCTGCCAGAGTGCTTACTCTGCAGACATTCAGCTGCAGCTGCCTCGTCACAACTAATAAACTGAACCCACTGCTAGAGAAATGTTGCACAATAAAAGATGTTGACTGAAAATGTTAACAGTGTCAGAGATTCAGTTTATTGCTGAAACTCGAAACAAATATAAAGTAACTATAATAAACAATAGCCAAACTGGAGGTCAGATTAGGACCAATTTCACTACAGAAATGAGCAAAGAAAGCATAAAATACTAAATAGTGACCACAGACCATTTAAAAACTGATAATACAGATGAATCATTGTGGTGTTCAGAATTCAGAATGTACATACCTGCCGTCTGCAGCTCTTCAGAGTCACACCTGTCTTGGCACCGATATCGTCCAAGTCTTTCTTAGTTCCTTTGGAGAGTTTCTTTCCTAAGACCTCTCTGACGAACGCATCATCAAAGGCATAGTATCTACACAAGGAAAAACCGATGGGAAGAAAAGAAACTTATAGAACATATCGTCATTTAGTATGTCACACTGTGGTAACATCTTCCTTGAGAGGAGAATAACCTGGTTAAGAGGAATCCACATTTTACCCTTCTTACACCAAAATTAGCTCATCTATGAAGGTGTTTTTTAAAGACGGTAAACCTGCTAAAAATAGGCAATTGACTCCTAACATCTCGCCAGCAGACAGTTTTGCCTTTCTTTTTCTTCTTTTTTTATGTCACGCACATGCCAGAAAACAGGGTTAGTGAACAGTAGAAAGCAGCATTTGTTACTTGCCCTGGGCTGGGAGCAATGCCTCTTTGATTGTTACCCTTTTTCACTGGAGGCAAAAGTCAGATGTTAGTGGGTTTTTTGTCGAGTGTAAAAGGGGATAAAGAGAGTAAAAACCTTTCCTTGATTAAATGTTGACAATGAGATAAATGTAATACTCATTCAAATCAGACACTGAAAACACATCAGATAACTGAAGGAGAATTAATGAGAACATCATTACTCCACCTCTCTATGAGGATGGCTTGTCGATTTGGTGGGATCTGGAACAGTAGCTGGTTGGCTAGTTTGGCTGGACTGTGCAGCAGACGTTCACACATCTGGAAAGTCCTGTACTGGTCCATGGTGTCACTCAGCAGAACATCTGCACTTGCCTCACACTCCTCCATCACTCCTCCTTCCATCCGTACCTTCACTGCATCATTCACTGTTGGATAAGTCAGACAAGCTTGGTGATCCAAGTATGGATGAAGTTATGTGTAATAACAATTAGCAAAGCTACTGGTGTGGTGTGAACATACAGCAGCAGTAATGTGTGCTTCCCCATCATACGTCACACTGACGTCTACAAATGTACAGGATGTGGATGTAAATGCTGCAATATGGGTGTGCTCATTATTGGCTTCATTGTGTGTTTTCCATTGCTGTCGGACATTTAGTGTATTAGAAGCTCCCAATCTTTAGGCTTGTAACCCTTTAAAAAAAAACTTACTCAGTGTCTATTACCACCCCTTACAACCAAAGAGGGATGTTGCCAGATTGGTTCATTTGATCAGCTTATAGAGGACCGAAAAGGTAAAAGTCACTTTCATGAATTTTAAAATAAAAATGGCAAACAGTAGAAAAACTAAATATCTTTTTTTCTAAATTTCCTATCTTTTTCAATACTTTTATTAATGTATTTAACCAAACTCCAATACATCTCACATTAGTGTGCATCTTTGTAAAATAACTCCAATCATCCAGGACTCCTACTGAGCATCTAACCCTATGTCCACAGTCCCCTGGAGCACATTGTGTGAAGAGACATAAATACATGGTGTGATCCATACCTGTGTATCCATCCAACCAGAGCTGGTAAACCTCCTCATCCATGATAGTGGTGTTTCCCACGAACACATCCAGCTCCACTGCCATCTGATTGGAGGCAAAGAAGTAAAAGCAACATTTGTTTATCTTAAGTAGCCATTAACATCATATTAAATTAGCTCCACACCATTAAAAATGCCAACAGAGTAACGTTATACCTTGCTTTAAGTGTTGTCCCAACCAGCTTCAAAAACCAAGCTACAATAAAACCTGACGTGACAAGTATACAGTTGACTTCTAATGGCTGAACTTAGATTTTCTTTCCATGGCGTCCTAATTAGCTAACTTCCTCCATTAACAGCTAGCCTGCTATGCTAGCTACGGCGCAAAGTTAGCAGGGTTGGCGGAGTTTAAACTGACAACCGGACAACGAAACGGCAAATTAAGCACAAATTAATATGACGACATAATCGACTAATCAACGCACGTTCTTTGAAACACGAACATCCACCAAATGGTAGCTTATTGCTAAGGGTGCGCAGTGTCAACAACAGCAGTCAGGGAACACGAGTTTCCGTTTTTGTTACGTCACAGGAAAGGCTCTTAACGTGCACTGTTATGTCTCTTACACTAGCTATCTCCTCAGAACAAAAAATACATATTTATTGTACTTAAAATGATTTAATTTGAATCTTTTATCTTATTATCTTATTTTATTTACGGGCATTATATGTTTTATATTAAATGTTCTTGTATTGTTTAAGTACGAATTAGAATAATGTTCTAACATTCAGTATATTTCGTGGACTGTAATAGAAGACAATGTGTGTGTGGTAAACCAAACCCTGCATCCGTGTATACAAATCATTAATACCACATGTTGCTCAGAATGTAAATGTGTTTTGAAGGATTGTGTGTGATTATTTTTTTTTTCAGAAAGTATGCTTTTATTCTGAAACAGTCACACCGGTAATGTATTTTTGCTCTATTGCCGCTCTCCTGTTAGAGATTCTCAGTTAGTTGAGTTCACACTTCTTATGTATCTGCGTTCCATTCCTTTTCCTTTTCCTGTTGTTGCCTCATACGTTACACTGTAACGCTGAACGTTCCAACGTTCCATCATCGCAACAATGTAGCAATGGTCGAGTGTGCGACTGTTGATGTACCTGTTCCAGTTACAGTAGAGCCGGAGCAGACGTGTGTTAACCCTATCTAATCCACTGTGTGTAGAACGTGCCACAGTTCCATATCGAATGTGTTTAAATGAAGATCAATGAATATGCGGGTGCAGACAAAGTTGCCTATACACAATTAACAACCAGAGATAGATAAAGCAGTAAGGGGCAGTGTTTTGGGGTTTTTAATTAGGGACAGGCTACAGTAGTCTTCTTTGTTTGAATTCCATTATTATGGAAAGCATGATGACCAGTTTCATCATTTGCAGAATTGATACAAATGTAGGCCACATGTTTACCTCAGATTGTTTTATTACCCCTGTCACCCCACTTATAAATGAACCCGAACCTAAAGCTGAAAGGAAGGGGTTGCTTACATAGCAGCATGCTGACATGGGGCCCAGAACCTATAACCACTGGCTATACTGCACTCAGGGCCGAACGTGAGAAAGTATTTACCTGTATTTAATCCTATTGGCCAATCCCAACACGGTACCTGATATTTCTTGCTAACTGGGTAGGCTTACACTTGAGTGGCTTCACATCATAAGGGCCGGATTATTAACCCAATAACAGTCTCCATACTTGGGACCTACCTATACATCGCTTTACTTTTAAGTCTCATCACTCAACACCAACACACCATTCATTTTAAGTTAGAAAACCATCAATGGCCAGATGAAATACTGAATATTCAAATTACAACTGTGCATTTAGCAGCCAGACAGTAGCCTATTGTTGATCTATGTCCTTTCATTTGTGCTCTTAGTTGTTTTAAAATGTGTCAGATCAGAGATAGGCCTCTGTCTGAGCACCGCGGCCCCCTATGTGCTGTGCTTGCTGCGTGTACACAATCTGCTCTCTTTTTCCTCCGGCGATTAATCTAAATAAATCCCTGCAAATCCCTGTCCTCGCCCTCCCTTTCTGTGTTTCTGCATGTGTCCTTCAAAATCACAACATAAGGGAAAACGACTCAGTCAACATGTCTTTTTGTCGCATGTCTCGCTGCACATCAACACTCTCGTTTCTAACCTCACATGACACCCTGATTCCATCCCCAGCTCCCCCTTACACGGTTAACACCCTACATTGTTATGGCCTCAGTGAAACAATGGAGGTGGGACAGAGGGCGGAAGGATGTGGCTGAATGCCTCAGCATAAACCCATGGAAAAAAGCCTGCAGTCACACTTTCCGCCAGTGTTCTTTGAAAAGAAACGAGTACAACCAGGAGTCACTCGTGATACGACTATACTCTGTACTGTACATCTTCCTCTGTAGTGAACCCCAAAGGCATATATGGCTTATTGATGTATTTCTCATGTTTTGCAAGGGTGTGGGGATAGAAAATTAATATAGGCATATATCTTTAGTTTGTGTGACGATGAGTTCATTCCAATGAACAGAAACCCCCAGAGGAAGTGGCTTCACACAGGCCTTTCCTACTCATTTCCTTTGTGAATTGCGCTTATCCATGTTGTTTTGGTTTCATAGCACGGTACGGGTAAAAAAAATATGTTTCTGAATCCAAATGGGGGCGCACAAGACCCTCACTGACAGAGCGCATGGAGCAGATCTTCAACCTCACATCTTGTTTTTTCATAATGTAGCTGAATCGGTTCAGTTGGATCGTTGAGCAGATCGATTCAGTTTTGCCATTTACGGTCAGCCCATACGTACTGTAGGCCTATGGTATGCGAAGAGTCACTGGAAACCTCAGAGGAAACCACAAATATTCCTGATTACAATCTCACCGACACTGTCAAAGTAGCAGTCGTTATAAAAAGTACAACTTCCGGGAAAATCACTCAAAATAAAACCAGTGTTGTTGAGGAACACGATTGCATTGGAACACAAGTAACACGCCATCAATGTGACGTGTAAGAAATCTATATTGTGTGAAAATAAAGTCCCACAAAACATATTTTCCAATACCGCCTCACTTCTTGTAGTAAAATTCCCTAAATCGATGCTTTTATTTTGAAGACTGCACAGACTACCTCTGGCAGTAGCCTCCTTGAGCTTCACACTCTCCGCTAAACGGAGTCACAGCCGTGAAAGTGGCGGAGGCGGACATTGTTGTGGTAACAGTCCAGCCCAAGAGGATGAGCAGAGATGATGCACTTATTTTGAGCGGATAGAGGGCGAGATTGGATTGTGATTTATTTTGTTTTTTATCTAAAGAATGAATCCTTTTTAAAAATAAATTAATACATCTAAAAAAAAACCTGCTGCACCGTACGGACTCATCCTCCAACCAACCGGGGAACGGAGTTCATTCAGCCGAGGCGAGCGGAGCACAGCCTGATGAGACGATGCCAGCGACGTAAAAATCACAACATCTGCAGGGTGTGCATCCGAGGCTGCTGGATTAAACACCCGTGGATCGATCGGGCCTTTGTACATACAGTACAGAAAAGCCCCCAGGGCGACTGTTGCCTTCAAAATACTGCGAGAGGAGGTAAAACAAGGACAGATGTTTTCTTGGAGGCCTTTGGAAAACACAGCCTGCTGTTGAGAGGATGACAGATTGACATTAACGGTGGAACTGCGGTGCATTTTCATACACGACCTCCTTAAGGCATTATCCACGGAGAGCAACCACTGGGTTCAGCACAAAATCGGACCGAAGTCCCCGCTTCTTGAAAAAAGCCATCTAAATAAAGATATCACATGTTTCTGCCATGATTTGGCCTCCGGTGCTGTCGTGATTTGCACACATGACATCTGGAACACACTGGGTGCAGAAGACGAGGATGTGATGACTGAGTGTTAAGCATTGAAGCACCCAGCTATATCTCAGCGCTTTTAATAGATTCTCAGGTACCCTCTATACGTCTAGGTTTTTTAATAGAAAATGGGAAGCGAAGGTGAGATAATAAATAGAGAACTGTCAAAGATGTCTGACGAGGATTTGCTGGCGTGCTCCAAAGAGGAGCTGGTGAGCCGGCTGCGTAAAGAGGAGACGGATAAAATATCAGCTCTCATCCAGCGAGGACGGCTGATAAAAGAGGTAAATAAACAGCTGCAGGGACACCTCCTTGAAATCAGGGAACTGAAAGTCATCAATCAGCGCCTGCAGGAGGAAAACGTGGAGCTGCGGGACCTGTGCTGCTTCCTGGACGACGACCGGCTCAAAGTGAAGAAGCTGGCGCGGGAATGGCAGCTGTTCGGGCATCACGCAGCCAAAGTGATGCGGGAGGACCTGGGCGGTTACTTGAAAAAGCTCGCAGACCTGGAGCGCATGCAGGACGGACTGGTGAAGGAGAATTTGGACCTGAAGGAGCTTTGCCTGGTCCTGGAGGAGGAGTGTGTTAGCAGGAGCGACTCCAGCCCCGGAGGGTCCACCGAGCTCAACCTGCCCTGCATGGTGGCCCGGGACCTGGGGGACGGAAGCTCAAGCACAGGCAGCGTGGGAAGCCCGGACCAGCTTCACCTGGTGTGCTCACCTGATGACTGATGATAGGTTTAATGTCCGCAGTCAGGGCTTCTCCCGTTCAAATAAGGAACCTGTAGAGTAGGGGTGATGTGATTGACAGAATGGAGACACAGAGGCTTTGTCAGACAATACGAATTTAATTGGTGCAAAAGCATTAGAGCCTTCTGAATGCTGCAACGGTTTTGTGTGCCACTAGGTTTTGACTTGACAAAGATTCTACAACCATAGACATTTTCAGGACTTTACAAAGACATTTAATAGATGTTTGCCAGATGATAATGTATCTAAATTTTACAGTGTTTTTTCTAATGACTCTTCTGTTTTTGGGAAATTCTCCTTTTTCAGTGGTCTGTTGTTGAAAAAAAAAAAAAATGGGACCAAAAAACTGGGTCACATATATAAATTTATCTCATGCACTGGACTAGCCTACACTGGTAGAAGCCTTTTTTCTATTGCACTGGACAGCGTTATCATGGATCTTTAAATCACAGATCTAAAGATTCATTTCAATCCAGTTTTGAGCCATATTTAGTCCACTGAATTCCAATAGCACTGAAATAGATGAGTTGTGATAAAAGAAAAATATGAAACTATTTGATATTTGCTTTTTGCTAGATGCCCAATAATGTGTAATATTTTATGCACTCTCTTCCTCAGGACAGGATTGGAGTGCCATATGTGCATGATGATTGTCACAATTTGTACAGGCCTGTTAACCAGTCTGCTGTGAAGGCCCTTCAGGTTTACTGTGGGTGGGGCTGCTGTGCATAATGTACATGTGCTATTGCCGGGGCAGAGCCAGCACACTTGTTAAAGGGGTTTGGATCAGAGGTGATAGATGTCCTTGGACCTCACTCAGAGCTGAACTGAAGTTCTGTCACTTTTTTAAATCCAACTGGAAACTCTTTGTATCAAACTGGAAGGTCTACAAGTTTGAATGATTTCTATTCTATTCTATTCAACCCAAGCTGTTTAAATTCACTTGTATTACTTTTTTTTATTACATTGTTGTTGTTGATGTTTAATTAGCATATCACAGAGTTTAAGTTGGTCAGCTTCGTCTTCTGTAACTCATGCTTTGTATTTACCCTGTAACATTAGGGATAATCTTAACTTTGACCCTTCTTTATCTTGATTTATCTGTATTAACTTGCATTACTAACAGATTTCAGTTTAAATCATAGATAATGCACATGGATTAGAAAAGATTTATTTTGTTGTTAGCTGTTTATTGGTGGGCTATGCTCGTAGTGCATTGAAGAGCTTTAAATACAGTGGGTATGACACTTTGTGCTGTTCTGACCTTTCTTTGTGTATTCGACTTTACAGAAACAAGCATTCACATTTACATGACACAGAATGATGGATTGATTTCTGCACTTGTTGTTTTGACCTTCATGTCGGAACCGACTGCACTTGATTGATGTTCCCTTCGTGTCATACAGACAGACTTTATGGATGTTCATCAGTTTTATTTTTGGATCCCCATTTGCACAGTCTGGAGAGCTGAAGAGAGCAGTAATGCTTTTACCCACTTAGTGATGCACAAACGTCCTTTGACAGCAGCATACACACAGATTTTTCTCCTCCCTCGTGCTCTCCAGCTCTCAATCTGACTCTCGTTCCATCTCTATTTCTCTCTCTAACCCCATTTCAGCAGAGCAATCCAATGCCCTTTGAGCCATGTATGTATTAGCAAGAGATCCGCTTCATTTTTTGGAAATGGAGTAACAGAGAACACAGTGTTCACAGATGAGGGGCACAGAGCGCGTCATTAGAGTTTGTCAGTAAACATTGCAGTCATCCAACCCTTTTAATGAGTGTCAGGGAAAGACTGCTGTTTGTGATTACATCCTCTTTATTTCGTCGATCAATCGTTTAATCTATTAAATATCCAAAGAAATGAAATATACCCTTTGTGATTTCTAAGAGTCAGAGGTTATGTCTTCAAATTGCTTGTTTTTTTCCGCCCAACTGTCCAAACAGAAAGTTAACAGAAAGTGATATAAAACACAGATAGAGAAGCTGCAACCCTCGATAATACTCAATTCTCTTTGCTTGATTAATAGTAAATTAGTTACTGATTCATCTTCTAATCAAATACTCCTTTCAGTCCTACAGTATTTATGCTCCAGTTTGGGTTATTCTGGTATCTCAGTGTTCACTTTACAAAATCTTTCTCAACTGAATCTGTTGTTTTTAATCTGCATTTCATCTTAATCATTTCCTCCTGTTGTTTGTTTTTCACCAATAATATTACACCGTCACACAGTTATGAAAAGTTCTTTATTATCTGTGAAGTAGTACAGCTTTGACAAAAAAATTAAGGCACTGCCCACCAGAACAGTCCGTTCGTCAGAGAAAACATTACCAAAAATATATTACACTCTCAAAAATAAATACATGATTACATAATCTATATTAACTCCTAGGGGCCAGCCTTAGTGGTCAATAATTTGCATAGACAATATTAGGATTCTTAAAAGAGTCATATAAAAATAAGGACCATTTATTTGAAAAAGTACTATTTCCCTTTGTGAGGACATATATAACTATAAGTGTTACATAACATGACGTAACAATGTAACATGTCATTAAATGCAACATGTAATTAATTATCACTATTAATATATTATTAGTTTTATTTCTAGAAATCTTGTATAGTAATTCTTCATAGAATATATTCTGCATGCAATGTTTCCATAATAAACCTCAAACACTCATTCTATCTGATAGCATCAAAATGAGAAATTTCAAGATTTTACATATATATCAAAACTAAAGAGTGTAACATTCATATCTTGATAATGCCACTAATTGCATATCATCTAAGTACAAAATCAACTTTCTAAATAAATTAAATCAAGCAGAGGCACGTAGCGAATTTTGAAATGGTTATCACAATCATCATTTTCATTTTGTCACGTTTCCCAGAGATCCTGTTTGTCACACACACACACACACACAAACACACCCACACACGCACACACACACACTACGACTGCATGGAAATTAACATTAGTGTTCTGCCAGGATGACAGGGGCCGCCAATCACAGAGTGAGAATGGTTGGGGAGTGCAGGGAGTGATCCGATTGGTCACCACTGCTGCTGCTGCGGCGATGAGCAACCCCACAGGGCTGCGGGGCATGAGACTGTGGGATGTTTCCTTGCTGTGATGTAGCATGGGATGTGATGGAGGCGTTGGTGTCCAACGGGGCCGAGGGATAGGTGAACACCATGCTAGCTGTGAAGGGCATGAGAGAGGGGGTAGATGTGAGAACAGGGGTGTGGAGCGACTCTGATTCAATGGCAACAGCGGAGGCAGGCGATATCACAGGCTTGCTGGGGATGGTTATCTTTGGTTTGGGCTTCTCCATCTTTGTTGTTAGTTTGGTTGAGGGTCCAGGTCTCCTGGAATCCTCTGGCTCCATTTTGATGACTCCCACAGAGGAATGGGTTGGATTTGGGTCAGAATCCGAATCAGACTCCTCTATTTTACAAATGGGACGGTGAGCCTCCAGGACCAGCTCAAGCTTATCTCTCTCCTTTTGTAGTTCAGCTATTTCCTTCTGTAACCGTGACTTCTCATCCTCCAGCTGGTCGGTCTCCTACACCAGGGGAAAGCAGAGACAGACAGACATATGTGTAAATTATTTCATGCCTGATGGAGACCAATATTTGAAGCATTAATGTTATGACATTTGTACAATGCTCACTCACATTTTGCAGTGTGTCTGTCAGCTCCCGGCGGCGATTGCGACATTTTGCTGCTGCCAGTTTATTCCGCTCCCTTCTTACTCTACGTCTCTCCATCTCTTCCTGGGATAACTTTGATGAGAAAAAGGGGAAAAGAAGATTAAAATACATAAAATAGGTCAACCCGACACAGTGAAATGAAAGAGTCAAACTCTAAACCCCATTTAATGCCTATAGTTGGATTCTGAAACCTTTTTGTTTTGGGCAAAAACGTATCAAACGTAGACATGTTGAGTCCACCATAAGCAACATGACACATGAGAAACACTACCACCATGTGTGTGCACTGAGTCATCACAGTCAGAGCAGCTGAATGATTTAGTCTGAGCTTTTGTGGCACACTAACTCTGACTCCATCCAGCGCCCTACTGAATAATTACTGTTGATCCAATACTTCTCGCCCTTTCAGGGCGATGACTCATGCTCAGACCCCAGCAGTGACTCAGGTGTGAGTCACAGAATATGACTTGCCCCTGTGAGTCACATGACAGTCTACTTCCTGTATCATGAATTTACAACTCTACAACAAAACTGTGACGAGGATATGTGCCAACATGTGCCTGATGAAACCAACAAATGACACTGTAGAGGTGACGAACATGATGATAGTTCTTAAATGTTGAAACTGCGTTGTACCGGGTCACTTCAACATCTGTGCTATCTTGTCCTGACACGTAACATTGCTCTGCTAACAAAATGCAGACCTTTGCAGTGTGTCACAGGTAATCATTTCACTGTGTCAACATAGACTCCAAGTAAACACCATCAAATAACATAAACAGTGTGTGTTTACCCCCGGTGAGTAAAGTTTCCCTTTTTAAATTACCTAAGAATTGAAAATGTTTTTAAATAATGTCAATTAATAATGGTATGTTACCCTATTTCTAAATGGATTTGTGTAATGTGTAAGTCTAAAGGAAATGACTGTGTCATAGAGTATTACAGGATATTACACACTGCTTACACAGAAATGATTGAGGTACTGTCCACACCTCACCATCTGCAATCCCTCTAGGGGAAATATGACTCCCAACAAACCCAACAAATACACAATCATCAGTGTCTCTTCAAAGAAGAATTTTTTTTTTGGCACTATCTTCATAAATTTTCCGTTGTTAAAGGACTACTATCTTACCTGTTCATCGTTCCTGCGCCTTGTTGGCGCAGTGGTGTGTGCAGCTGCTCTTATGACCCCCGGTCTGAGAAGATGGGAGTGGGAGGATAGCGGACCCAACGGCCGTGCCCCTGAGAGGGTTGGGTAAGGAGGTACTGAAGATTGTGACGGGCCCGGTGGACGCAAGAGGGAGGGCTGGACTAGCCACTGAAGTTCCTGGTTGGTTGTGATGGCATTGAGGCTTGGTACAAACTGACCACTGCCAGCCATTGTACATTTCTGAAAAAATTCAAAAATGTGGATAAAGTAAGAAAAAGTAGGAAAAGTACTGTAACAGAAGACCTAAAACCAACATGTGATCAATAACAAAACACATCCAGTTATTGAGGACTAAATGTAAAGTAAGTAAAGTAAAACAGATCATGATTATGTTAATATATATTCAGTTTAACTTTTATAACTGACACATACAGTATAATCACTTGTATAACTACACTACAATTAACTATGATAATATGATATTAACACTATTACAGGTTTATTAAATTGTATATTGAAATTCACAACTTTTCCCCCTAGGTTTAGCTTACATTTTACCAATTTATGTGGGATAACCTGTAGCCTTATACAAAGTTAGTTAAATTAATTAATTAAAGTTCCCCTACCTGCTCCTGTTGTGTAGTTGAAGAGCTGGTGCTTCCCAGGGTAGCAGAGTGTGACCCAGAGACACCGCCGGTGTACGCCGGGTTGCCTCTCCCTTGATTCCCAAAGTTTCGATACATCCTTTTCTGTGTAAAAGAAAATAAAACTGGATCCAGCAGGGGCTGTAAAGCCTTGAGGTCTCGCTGAATGACTTTCGGGTTGAGTCTCGTGTGTCAATTCAAACTTGGGGTAAGCGCACCTTATTGCGGTAACGGTCGAGTCCAAACGGGTACGTCTTCAAGGGGGGAACAAGGAAGAAAATCACGCCTTGCTTTTTTTCAAATCGGGCTAAAATATCCGAAAGCGACTTTTAGTACAACCTCTTATCCTTAGTCATACATCCAGAAGCCAACGTCTGGGAATGATTGTGAGGTTGTAAACTCTTAAACTGGCACTATAGGTTCACCCCGCCCCTCCGCAGTTACGGGAAATACTGTTGTCTGGAATCTCTCACGAACTCCTGACGTCATTGCCCATATTTGGTGAGAGTTTCCTCCTGAGAGTTAACACCCGGGATTCCTCGCCTCACCTCTCCGTCGGTACGTGCTGTTTTTTCTGCTCGGTGAGTCTGATGTAAGTTAGTGGTTGAAATTGCTACAACATTTTCCCCCTCCAGTGGAAGTAAAACAAAAAAAAAAAACATTTAAATTGAACTTAATTTTAATATTTCTTTCTGTGGAGATGAGGACACAGTTTTATGTGATCATTCCACATGA